GTAAAATCGTCTGCAGCACCACAATATCAGAGCTGCGGCTCGACCGAACGCGTTCGGTGAGTCTGGCGCAAAATTGTGTGAAGACTGCAGTTGGTTGGAGCATATGCGAAAATGACGAACAAAGACATTATGGAGTTGCTACAATCCCGAACACGAACTGAACCCTGGAGTCTCATTGCGCACAGACGACCATTGACGGGTATCTAATCTACCATAGAAGCTTCAGCTTCATCGTTTAGTACGATCCCTACACCACGCTGACCCAATGAGCGGGCTTCCTCGTCTCCTGATGTCCAAAGCAAATACCTCGAAGACAGACCCGGTGCACTGAGGGACTGTTACTGGTCGGAAGAAGGGTCATAGGGAGACGGTTGGGTACGGAAGACAAACAGTTAAACAAAGGTTGGGATATTTGAGCAGTAGCCCACTTATCACCATCCGAAACACGGAGCAATGGACCCGATTATCCTGCGCGACAACCGATGCCTTACAAAATCATTTTTTGATGTTCATTAGCGCTTATTGAAGAAAATAACGACTACCACGTGATTCCTTGTTTCATCTATTACCACACCTGCAACCACAGTGAGCCTTGTCAACACTATTAGCAGTCCAAGACATAAGCGAAAGTTACGTCTCCAATGAGACTGCCTCAGAAGAAACCATCCGGGCTAAAACAATAGATAGTACTTACATACGCGTAGCCAGCAGTAACATCAGCTCTACCCAGCCATTGTGCACAGTGGGAGTTGGTGCCATCTGGGTATTGTATACCGTAATCAAAAGTACCAAGTAGCGCGTCCCAACATCGACGAACTGCTGTCGAAACTAGTTCACCTGTGGTTATCAACGCCCAAACCGGCTTGTGGGCAAACATGACTTCAACGCCACGACAATAGGGCATGTGTGGATTGGGATACAGAACAGATTGAAAAGAAGGCGAAACGGATAAAATGGAAAACTGCAGATAACTAGGATAACGTTGTTTCACCGCACACTTGGAAATTTTTGGTTAATTTACCGTTTTTACGGGGCTCGGGAGTTCAACAGGCAGACCGTACAACATTCGCACCAAACTTCTATTCTGGGTCATATCTTTCAGCGCCTCTAACCAACGACAATCCTCATCCCTCGGGCCCCAACCGGAAAGGCCAGCTGCACCCACCAAAGCCAGCTTCTTCATACCAGATCAGACCGTCTCGGCGCTTCCTCCAGCTTTGCCCGGGACGTGCTATGAGGTAGTCGATGGACAGACATACGTAATACGTGACCAAGCCATCGGAGGCGATGTAATACGATTACTCCTATTAGAAATCGACTTTCCAACTCCAACACACGACGACCTTCGTCTTTGCCCACCCGATGTTCCTACCAGACACGAGTAATGCTTCGGAGACCTCGGTGGTAGAATACAGAAAGTCGATTAGCATCTTCAACGCGGAGAGGGGGGGTCTCGCGACTGTAAAGCTGAACGCTACAAACTGCGGAGATGTACACCACCCCCTTAAGGGACAGTCGGATGTCATGGCGGCGCCACGTGTCGCAGGTTAGCGGAAGTTGCTCTAGCTTTCGCTATTCGTGATGTGACCTCCTCAACACTAACACCAGCTGTGATAAAGCGCTCAACCACCGCAGAGGGTGAGTGCTCACACAGGCTCCTGTCAGTCTTGTACAAGCACTTTGCATATGGAAGGCGCAAAACATACCATACCTGGATACTATGATCGCCAAGCGGCTCAAGACGTTGGAATTTCTGTTGTCACCCAACAAGGTGACTTCCTCGGCATGGTATTAGTCAGGGAGGAGTTCAACACCGTTTGATCGACAGGATAAAGCCTTCCGTAAAACATCCCCTATGATAGTTGAAAAGGAGACCGTAAAGGAGGCCACAGACCCTAACCCAACCTGAGGTATGACGATACAACCATTGCCACTTTGACACCTTTGTTGTTCCACAGCAGGGGACCTAAACGGGGTGTGCTCACATAGGCCTCCCTGATGAGCACAGGTTCGTCAGCTTTCTCCCGTAGAACGAAAGAATTTAGCACCGCTTCCATCTTTCAGACTCAGTAGCTGGCACCATGCACCGATTTGCATTCGACTGACCAGATAGAATGTACCACAAATAAACACGCAGCCATTTTGCGGTAGCTAACCAGTGATTATGATCCATGGTCCCCAACCAGGAAGTTCAACGCGATCAATGATCGACCCTCTCGGCAGGTGGTTTCCTATCCGCATGCCGCCTTAGCTCAGATCGTTTCTACAATCACTAACCATGGACTATCGTGCGCCGGCATCTGTTGCTGTCTCTTGGTTGCCCAGTTGGATGAACATAAGACAGGAAAGGTTGAAAGTATAATCGAAGAGAGTATTTGGGTTTTCACTGTACTAATTTTGCAGAGAAATCGACAATATCCATGAGCGCCAGTTTACGACACCCAGCCATATAACTGTCTCTAGCCATCGGGTATGATAATCCTGAGGTCCCCATCCAGGGAGCCTAACGGGACCTGTGAGCCAGACTCCTGGTTAAGGTTTTCATACACGCAATCCAGGTCTTAACTTGACCATCCTTGACTACTTCCATCCACTACCTGCCTCGGCGAACAGCGCTCGGCGTGGTGAAACGCGTCCTAGTTCAACTATCCTTGATTTTATTCCACCCAATAGCTGCAAACTATCACAGTGCTGCAGGGCAGTCTCAGACACCCAAACTCGAGGCACGGATGAATTGTGAATTAAAAACCCTAAAGCAACGAAACCGAACAAGCGACCAAGTTTCGCTAGGGTGACGCAGTCAACTGCGGACTTGCGGCAGTTATGGGTCAATGTGGATAAGCAGAAAGGAAAATAGATACGGAAATCAGACAGCTGGTGCGGATAAGGTCGAAAATCCAACTTTCAATACGGATTGTACTGCGAACACAGGATTAGGTGAGGATTCAGACCAAAGTAAGGCAGTGAACATCCAAACATGCTTACGTGGATTACCAACAGCGTCCCACCCATGCAATCAAGCGAATCTCTAATGGTGGGCAACCACCACCGGCGCAATGCTGAATCTCAAATGCGACAATAAAGAATTTGAAACGGAGCAACGCAACACACGAGAAAATAAGTGGGAAGGGCTTGGATTTATGACACTTCCAATGAAATGGAAGTGAGCTATTAGTCTGGTTCCGGGAGTACCAAGTAAACGGTGAAGGAAAAACAAATTGTTCCTCACTTTACTCATCTAAACCGAGTGACCACTTGATATCATTTATCTACATACATACATAGTTGACGACACATTCGAAGAGAGGATCGCAGTTAAACCATAAACCACAATTCCAAGGAAAATGGAACAGGAATTACCATTCAAGATTTATTTTCACACTCAACTGTAGCCATATTGTTTCAAGATAGCTTGGTATGGAGCAATCGCCTCCCTGGCGCGCCCCCGAGCAGCTTCAATGGGCTTTGTAGATTGCTTCTGTTTCTTGTACCAAACAGCAGCCTTAGCCTTTCGTCTGTTTTCCATCTTTTCGATAACATTCTTGTACTTCCACCCAACTTCATGTGACAGACGCGACAGAACACAGAACTGAGACGTAGAGAATTAGTAAAAGTACTTTTGTACCTTTCGTCTCTGTTTTAGGCGCATCACACGCATTGCTGAGGGAACAACCATGCGTTTCTTCTTATCGTATGGTGGAGGAATACCCTCAAATACTTTCAATCTATCTAAGGCATCCTTTCCCCGCTGCAACTTGTGTGGAAGCATTCCTCGAACCGTGCGCCAGAATATTTTGGCTGGTGCCCTGAAGTGATATGGGCCGCGGGAGGGATTGGTACTCATACGCTTCCTAAGAAAGTCGAGGTACTTCACTGCGTGCACTATTAGTGGAAATGATGAGAAACTTACTCTTATTGCGGTAAAAAGAGCCGGATATATTAATGCCTTCGCATCGAACAACCACGATCTTCTGGCCCTGCAACAAGGTTTTGGCTACTATTGATGCCAGTCTACCAAGGAGATGATCCTTGGCATCTATAATGATAGCCTACAAAAGAACGGTTAGGAAAAATATGCCCAACATGCCTTCTTCTGAAAACTCATCACTGAGGTCACGCGCCGAACAAGAGTGGCGGTCGGACTGTGATGAAGCACACTTAAACACAGTTCAGTTCAGTTCAGTTTGCACAGGACGATGTGTGGCCCGGGCCAATCTTGCGTCCAGATTGATGTGTTGTTGGCTGTTCTTGTGGCTTCCAACACTGCGAGTC